TGGGCTTTGACTTCGTGCTGTGCAGATGAATACAAACCCACAGGATGAGGGGCATGGTGCCTTTGCTTCCATGCTAGGAAACTATGCCAGTGTTTCCCACAAATGTACTTAACTATGGAGGCTGACCGGGTATTCAAAATGCCATCAAATTGAATTTGGTGACTTCTATTAGCATATTTTATATATTTAGGGGGAAATGCTGTCTGGACCGATAAAACAATGGACAATTTCCCCTTCACATGCTCTCTGTGAAGAGTGACAACTTATAAATACAGGTAATCAACATTTACAAGATCATTCTTTTTAGAATAAATGTTTGTTCTTTGTAGATAATATAACAAAGAGTAAGGTCTTTTACCTGCTCTTTTGTAAAGTGTCGTGAGAGAATGTTTATTGGCACTATACAAATAAAGGTTGATTGATTGACTTTGAGATGTGTAATGCTCATTTGAAATTTGTCATTGAACACTTTTGGAAATCAAAAGGATATGGGGGAAATTCAAATAAGAAAAACAATTAGAACTGCACTCCAACATTGTATTTTAATTGCCACATGAACGTTTCGAGCAAACGCTCTTCTTCAGCGAGGAACAGGCATGCAAATAAACTATGTTATGATTTCAACCAGCCTTGTGGTACAACACCACAAGTACTTAAAATGTCATTTCAACACGAACACTAGGGGCGCTGATGGCCTCGCAGTAAGGTCGTTCATCATTTATGGAGGCGATAGTCCTCCAAGTGGGTGGCCCAGGTTGGAGTCCTTTCCCTAAATGTCATTCCCCACCCTCTCGCATCCCCCCGTGGTTTCTTACTGTGTCCTATTAAAATACAGGCAACAAGCCAAAAAAAATGTACCTTAATTTTTTGTTTTTTTAAATGATTGCAAACAATGATGTAATAATAACAATAATTGTGTTAATTACAGTGTATCCAACAACACTTCCCTTCATGCATGGACAGATGAAAACTGTGGCGCCTGGCTGTTCTTTCATCACGCTGCTAAGTGGAGACAATTGACAGATCAAAACCTGCTCTGTAGCTTACACTTTACAGAATCCTGAAGCTGTGATAGTATTGTTCATGTTGCTGAGATGTCATTTAAACGGTGTATACATTCAAACTCATGTTTGCTACCTGCTGTACTGTCACTAAAGTGTTGCATGCATCGTTTTATAAAGAGCATTTCTTTCCACAGAGCAGAGAATCTGTCTAAGAAATGAAAAGTTAAAAATCATCGAACCATGCTGAGCACCATGCTGTAGAAGAGTCAAATGAGAGTGGATGGAAGGTTTGAAAAGCCGTCCATTAAATGAAGTTTTAGTGGCAGAGCAGGAAATGAATGGCAGCGCGACCAAAAAACATCTGTCAAACTGTGACGAGCTGGGCGGCATTCAGGAAAGCAGGTGACAAGTTTTCTCATGGCATCGGTACGCTAAGTAAACAGCTACCTCAGACATAAACTTCCTTGCAACACGGCCTGGCACGGTCCCCAGTCCCTGCCTCCTCCCTGCTCAAAGTGCGGCTTTACCTACTTTACCCTGTCTGTTCGGTTTAGACTGTGTTTCTGCTCGCTTTAAGAATCTTACAAATTCCATCCGTGAATATAGGATTAAGCATTAAGCTTTTTTTAAGCTGTTGCTCTTAATTAACTAAACAAACACGGCCTTCTATTTCACTTGATGTCTGAAGTGCTGCGGTATGTGCATGAGCTAATGCTAATTAGTCCGTAACGAATGGGGCAAGCAGGGCTGCTGGCTGGGGCGGTCAGGTCACTTCTGTTTTCCAGGAGAACATTTCTACTAACGCCAGTGGCCACGAGATCTGAACAACACGGTGAAAGTATTAAATGTTATAAAAACATACACTCCGGAAAAAGGTCAGTTTTTTCTTTTTGAAGCCGCTAGCAGTAGCACGCTAATCTCAGAGCTGCTTCTGGTGCAATCTTTATCTCTTTGCCCCAGCCATGGATTCCATGTATGATCAGCAGTCAAGTTTTGACATGAGCAGTGTTTCGGATGAGGAATGCACCACTTGGGGCCTGCACAAATACAAACGGTACTCTTGCCATCAGGCCCACTCTGCAAAACTAATTAAAAGCAAGGGGATTTTTGCCTGAGTCACAGTGCAACCAAGGAGGCTGGAAGTGGAGAGGAGCCTCTCGCCTTTGTCTCGGAATGACCTAAGGCAGCGAAATTCCCCTTCAGTTATTGTAACACTGAAGGACCATTTAGAAAGAGAGTCATAACTACTTTTAAAGAGTCCACCCGGGTCAGATGTGTCCACCCGGGTCAGATGTGTCCACCCGGGTCAGATGTGTCCACCCGGGTCAGATGCTTCGACAAAAAGCCTCAGAACCGACATGAATTCAGCACATTCAAAGCAGACACTTGTTATTGGCCATCAGCAAATCAAGAGCCTGCAAATATTCCCAATACAATAAATACTTTTGGGTGTATTTGTTTCACAAAATGCAGTGAAAAAACATGCAGGAAACAATGTTTGGGGTGATTAAGAAATAGTGCCACCTTGTAGTTTGTCCAGCCTGCAGTCTATAACAAACTTATCTGAAGCACATGTAGAAGGGTTATTTCTATAATATACGAATGTTAAATGTTCTTGAATGAGGTATTTAACTAGCGAACAGTGTTCAGTGTCTTTGCACCTTCTATATCAATCACCATATCATAAGCTATTTTTACATATGCACTCTGTATAATATCCAGATAATTTCAGGAGGACTGCTCCGGAGATTCTCCTGACCTGGATGTTCACACATGCTCCTCACAGCGGGAGACAATCCCTGTCAGAGAGGAGGGGAGGCGGGGAGTCTCCTGAGGTGAGAAGTGACGAAATCACAACACAGAGTCAAAAAAAGAGAGGAGAACAACATACTGACGATCAGAAAACATTAATGCAGCGTTTTAATTACGTGCACCATGCAGCTGCAGCAGTCACAGTATACAAACATCACTCCCGCTCCCATTGCCTCGAGCTGAATTCTCCGGAGAAAATCCTGCTGCTTTCTCACATCAGCTCACTCGGACTTGCTGCAGAAAGTATACTAGGGGTCTGGCAGGAGAAACTCCTGGTGAGGAAATTTGGCTAATTGCATTCACAAATACAGCTCCTTCTGGAAATATCCAGAGTTTTTCAGGAGTTTTCTGCAAGTGTGAAAGCCCTGATAAATTGATGAAATGTTCCCCTCTAAAGATATCAGTAACCATCTCATAAGTGTGATATTACTCTGTTACTCCACAAATCCAAATATCTTGGCACCGAATGTATCGTCAGCATATCCTCAAGCATTTTATATACACACAGACAGCAGTACACATGTACGACTCATTGTGAAGCAACCACCAACATACAGGAAGAGACACTTCAATTACTGACGACCATTTATCACCAGAGTTATTCCTCTGTCACCGTCAATCTATCACAGCAAAGTCAACCCAGGCCATGTTTACATTCCTCAAACTGGATGTGATGCTATCAAGTGGGTGAGGGGGGGTCTGCAGGAAGGAGATATTTGGAGGGTGAGCTGCTATTATCTCACAAACGTCTGCACGCAGAAATGCTCAGCCGGAAAGCCACCATTCTAACATTTGGACTGGACAGATGGTGATTCCCTTTTCTTAAGTTTAGGTCAAAGTGAAACTAAATGTCGGTTTTTGTTTTTGTTTGCTGAAATGTTCCTCAGGATTCCTTCAAGGTACACACATCCAGTATTTTCCCCCAAAGAGATGCCTGAGTCAAACATCCATTAAAACAGTGTGGAACAGATGCTCCTGGCCAACACGTCACTCAAAAGCCCAACCCCCCCTCCCAACACCTCTGGCGTGGGGAAAGTACCGGTGTTCATGCTTTCATAACCAAAGTTTAACTAGATCAGGATATAACCAGGTGAGTAACACGCTGGGCTCAACAAGTGCAATTCACATAACATTCAACTACAACACAGCAACAAATGTAAACACGCTTCTCTCATCTCATCTGATTCGACTTTTATCAAAATGTATGATTTGATAATGTTTCAAGTGTGAAGAATATCCTGATAATGACACCTTAAGATTCATGATGCACTTAAATTGTCTATAACTTGAGGCCGTGTTCCTATCTTTAAAGCAAAGATTAAAAACACGACAATTAGTGTAATGCAGAGAATCTGTGTTTCCCCCTGTGCTCTTTGGAGGGAGTCAGGAGAGGCTCGGCGCTGAGGTAATACTGATGGCTTTAACTCAGTTAAAAGGTTAGATGCCTTTATTTCTCATTATTTATTTAGGAGAGTTTTATCAGGAGGTGAACTCCAGGTTATCTGCTCTCTAAAAAATACAAGCCTGGTGATTCAATCCAAGCAGCAACCTTCCATGTTGAAAAATTAGGGCCATTAAGTAGTGCAAATGACTGCACATCCCCCTGTAAGGCTGGCTGCAAAAGCCCCAAAAATCCCAATTAAGTCCCAAATAAAAATTCTGATTTGCTGCAGAAATAAATATGTGGTTTAAAGAATGAAATTCAGACTGATTAGCTCATGCGTTTATTTGTACACACTGTAATTTTTAACTCATAACTCATCTTTGATTGTATTTAACCAGCAGAGTTATTCTTAAATGTGAATAATATGGCTGACATAACTGAAACTATGACCATGTTTAATTCAGATCCAGACCCTGGATACAGCGTCCACTTTATATTACCAGTATGAAGCATCTGTAAATAAAGTTGATAAAAACCAGATCAAAGATTCTGATCATTCTATTTTGAGACTGGGGGAGTGAGAGATAAAGACAAAACAGCCAGAGGTGATCAAAAATCTTGAAACTATAAACATGTACACAGGGGATTTAATTTCCTCTTGTTCCATGTAAACAACAATACCAGGACAATGCTCGATACCCGGATACTAATGAGCATGTAAACTCAGTCTTTGACAGCTCTGCAGACTTCTGATGTTCAATAAGACGACCTTAGGAACAAAGGAAACGAGTCAGACCTACCACTGATGACTGTCAGCACATGTGGGGTTCAGGCCCACCGCCTCCTCGCCAATTTTCTTCCCTGAGAGGAGAGATAAAGACAGAGAACAGATAATGATGTTCCAACTGAAACACAAATTACACACATTACCCTCACAGTGGACATCGGTGTTCACAGGACAGAAGTGGAGAGAGAGGATTATGAGAATCAGCGGGTGTGTTGACTGAACAAACACAACAGGATATACAAGAAGGCGGGCGCTGGATAAAAGCAATGAAAACAGAAGTGGAATGAAATGCAATCCAAGCAGAGGGCTCAGTATTAAACCCTTCATCACTCAGAGCAGAGTGTCTCATTCCATCTGCTCTATTAATATCAAAATGAATGTTCAATATGATGCCCTTCTGACTAAAGTATCTCTGCAGGGAGCACCTAGCCAGCTCTGATCAGAGGCTCACTGATGAGGAAGGATTACAGAGAAACAGGTCGGTCTACTTCTGTGGAGTCACGAACGGCCTCTGTTCAGAAAATAAAACATTAAGATCTACCGTCTTGTGTTACAGAGTGTAACACAAGACCTTTGACCTGATTGAAAAGAGCCGTGGTCTATCATCATGAACCTTTAAGAGTGTTGGTTGTTCTCTTTGTTGACTGATAACCTTCAGTACTAACAGTGGAACAGAAACTCTGCGTTGACTTCATGATAACGACAATCTAAGAAGCTGAATGTGTGAGAAAGCTCTGGAAAGCCTTGGTAAATATCTGTGTCTGACTATTTTGTCTTAATGTTTGGCCGCGTCTGTTGTTTCTATAAAAACGAGGCTGACACTTGTTATTGTGTGTAAAGAAATATACAAAATGCATGGAAGAGATAGTTGACCCCATAGCTTGAATTGCAGATATTGCAATGTGAGTTTGAGATGAATACCGAGGGCCCAATTCAGCCTGCATTTCTTGTTGTTTCCACTTTGAATCGTGCATCAATTGAAACCACTTTCAAGGAACAATGGGCTAAAGATGTTTTAGTGGACTTGACTGTGTCTTTTGCAACCAGGTTAATTTGCATAGAAAAGGTTTGGCTTTGTGACAACTGCATGATTAATACCTCTTCTAAATATGTGCAGACAGCACAGGAGCACTGAGAGATGATTGCTCTGCAGGTCAGTTAAAGATTAGAGGGGCCTTGCTCTAAAACAAGAGAGTTTCCCTTTGTCTCATTTGCATACGTTTCTTTTTTTTAAGTTTATATATACACTGCTCAAAAAAATAAAGGGAACACTTAAACAACACAATGTAACTCCAAGTCAATCACACTTCTGTGAAATCAAACTGTCCACTTAGGAAGCAACACTGATTGACAATCAAATTCACATGCTGTTGTGCAAATGGAATAGACAACAGGTGGAAATTATAGGCAATTAGCAAGACACCCCCAATAAAGGAGTGGTTCTGCAGGTGGTGACCACAGACCACTTCTCAGTTCCTATGCTTTCTGGCTGATGTTTTGGTCACTTTTGAATGCTGGCGGTGCTTTCACTCTAGTGGTAGCATAAGACGGAGTCTACAACCCACACAAGTGGCTCAGGTAGTGCAGCTCATCCAGGATGGCACATCAATGCGAGCTGTGGCAAGAAGGTTTGCTGTGTCTGTCAGCGTAGTGTCTAGAGCATGGGCGCTAACAGGAGACAGGCCAGTACATCAGGAGATGTGGAGGAGGCCGTAGGAGGGCAACAACCCAGCAGCAGGACCGCTACCTCTGCGTTTGTGCAAGGAGGAACAGGAGGAGCACTGCCAGAGCCCTGCAAAATGACCTCCAGCAGGCCACAAATGTGCATGTGTCTGCTCAAACGGTCAGAAACAGACTCCATGAGGTTGGTATGAGGGCCCGACGTCCACAGGTGGGGGTTGTGCTTACAGCCCAACACCGTGCAGGACGTTTGGCATTTGCCAGAGAACACCAAGATTGGCAAATTTGCCACTGGCGCCCTGTGCTCTTCACAGATGAAAGCAGGTTCACACTGAGCACATGTGACAGACATGACAGAGTCTGGAGACGCCGTGGAGAACGTTCTGCTGCCTGCAACATCCTCAAGCATGACCGGTTTGGCAGTGGGTCAGTCATGGTGTGGGGTGGCATTTCTTTGGGGGGCCGCACAGCCCTCCATGTGCTCACCAGAGGTAGCCTGACTGCCATTAGGTACCGAGATGAGATCCTCAGACCCCTTGTGAGACCATATGCTGGTGCGGTTGGCCCTGGGTTCCTCCTAATGCAAGACAATGCTAGACCTCATGTGGCTGGAGTGTGTCAGCAGTTCCTGCAAGACGAAGGCATTGCTGCTATGGACTGGCCCGCCTATTCCCCAGACCTGAATCCAATTGAGCACATCTGGGACATCATGTCTCGCTCCATCCACCAACGCCACGTTGCACCACAGACTGTCCAGGAGTTGGCGGATGCTTTAGTCCAGGTCTGGGAGGAGATCCCTCAGGAGACCATCCGCCACCTCATCAGGAGCATGCCCAGGCGTTGTAGGGAGGTCATACAGGCACGTGGAGGCCACACACACTACTGAGTCTCATTTTGACTTGTTTTAAGGACATTACATCAAAGTTGGATCAGCCTGTAGTGTGTTTTTCCACTTTAATTTTGAGTGTGACTCCAAATCCAGACCTCCATGGGTTAGTAAATTTGATTTCCATTGATAATTTTTGTGTGATTTTGTTGTCAGCACATTCAACTATGTAAAGAACAAAGTATTTAATAAGAATATTTCATTCATTCAGATCTAGGATGTGTTATTTTAGTGTTCCCTTTATTTTTTTGAGCAGTGTATATAAATTATTATTATATATTATTTAGCATTTTTGGTCACATCTTGAGATTAAGTGCTAACTTTACATGCTGATTCAGGATTTTACGAGAAAACTGTCAAGAAATGTCAGGGTCTTCTATGGAGAACAAATAGACTTCATCATATTATATTGTAGTGGACAGATTAGTAACTTTCTGAGTACTTTCTTTTAATACCCAGACTACACAACAATTAAAGTTAACGCTTGCAGTGAACAGTTATTAAACAGTTGCAGACTTTCACCACAGGCAGTCTGTGGGTTAGACTATTTTTGATGGTTATTTGTGGATCAAGAACTGGAACTGTCTAACAGAGGTCACAGACCAGCATGGGTTTGGCTTTTCCAATGAAAACACTGACATTAAACAAGTTTAACATATATGGGTAGGAGATTGTAGCATCCCTAGCCTGTAATGCATAACACAAGATTTGGTGGGTTACCAGTTTCTGCATGACTCTTCTTCTCCTCCAGAGTGGCGCTGATGTCGTGAACGTCGCAGTAAGCTCGGGTTAGCCGCCACAGAAACATAGAGCTCTGTCCAAACTGCAAAAAGACAAAAAAAAAGTGTAATTAGAGATTTTGTTTGGATTACTTTTCAGAGCTTTCATGAATAATTAGATGTGATAAATATCAAACCAAAGCATTCAATAATGAAATGTGTATGTGTAACACAATAATATGTGTTACAATAAAGCTTTACATTAAATGCCTGATCGTTACTGTTTATAAACAACTGAGCATGATTCATAAATTGGGATTCACCGATGCATCAGTTGAACATTGGAATCAGCCGGTTTGAGTCCTGTTGATGGAAACTTCTGCAAATGATGCAGCATGCTAATGTCAGTAGCAGATATGCATCTGTAGTGTTGCATCAATGTAATGCTGCCCAGCTTATATACCTGTGTATGTTGGAGAAAATTGCTTGTTACAAGCTGAAGAAGAGCGTCTGCTTGAAACGTTCGTGTGGCAATTAAAATACAATTTTGGAGCGCTGCTCAAATTGTTTTTCTTGTTTGAACATTTTTCAGGATTCAGCACCCAGTTGATTTGTGTTGAAAGGGAGTTGAGCGTGTTTTCTCTATCAGCTCATATACCTAACAGCTGATTCAGAGAAGAGTTTGTTATAGGGCAGAAAAAGTCAACTGCTGGACAAACTCTGATTTGTTCGCATGGTCAAACGTGAAAGACAAAGTGGATAACGTGTCTGTCACAGACTCAGCAATATGCAGTTTGTAAGACAAATTCTAGGTACATTCATGAGAAGGGATTTATGACAACAATTCAATACATCAAATCATCAAGCTTATTTAAAACACAGACATAAAGAATCAAAACATTGGTATCCTAATCGCCCATTGGCTAGATGGTTATTTTAAACATTAGGGCAGTTTACAGGGCTGCATGACGGCCAATCACGGTCTGATCAGCTGTTCACAACCAGTCAGATGAATTTCTGGCAGAAAGCAGAACCCCAAGCCGATTCCCCAGACTGCAGGACTATTATTTACTGATTGTTCCCGCACAAACAGACAGCGCCTGGAAGCACCATGGCAACAGCAGTTTTGCCTGTTTGATGTTTTTTTTTTTTTTTTTTTTTTTCACAAATGATATGAACAAGAATATTGTTGGCCAAAAAGGGTCGGTTATTAAGAATATCAGCTCTTTCAATCCCAAAATGTTGCCTCACAAAATGAAGTGTTGGGGTAACATTGAGATAAGTGATATCTGTAAACGGAGCATATGCAGGGAGCTGATAACCTGTTTCACATACCTCCTCTCTGTGCTCCAGAAGCATGTTGAGACTTTCTCTTTTTTCAGAGTCAGTGCCCTTGTGCCAACAGTCGATCCTCTCCAGCAGGACAGAGAGCGGGTCTGCAGGTTGTTCCTCCTCACTCTGCTGTGCATCACTCAGCTCTTCATCTTCTTCAGAATCGGTCAGTGCTGTTATGTACCTGAAAACATAAAAGAACATCGTGTTAGAGAAAATAGACTCAGTTTTCTGTCTGTCTGTTCAATCAAACTGTATTAATTGTCTCATTCCTGCTGTCAGCAACTTCAGTAATTGTTAAATATAATAGAAATCAAGTATATCCATCTGAAAACCGTGAAAACCATATGAAAACACCTTAGCTATGGAGCCTCTTTACTATAAATCAAACAGTGAAATCTTAACGAGCATTTTTAGCACTGCTCTCATGCCAGGTGCTGATTGTAAAGGATCAATCTCGTCTGCCTGTTAACGCACAGAATCTGTTTACATAAGTGGGTCACTTAATTGTTTATAAAGACTGGCTGTTAGAACGTCTTGATGCCTTAACACGGATACCTGAAGGCTTTTGCACCAACACAGGGAGACTTGTTTGTTAGGGCGAGGCACGCAACACTCGCATTAGATGTTTTATGGAGCCTTTCAACTCCTGTAAGTATGTACAAACACCTTGAGCTAATTCCAGTGAAAAAAACAGCCATGTTAATAGTAAAGGTAAAAAATAAAAGACACAGACAAGAGTGAAAATATGAAAAGCCTCTATTAAGTGTTGGCAGCCGCCACATGTGCGTCATTGGCGGTTAAGGGAATATTTTGGGCTGTAAGCCATGGTTTGGGAGGGATGTGTCAGAGCGGGCCACAGACAGAAACACTTGGGACCTAACAGGTGCCTCGTGCCGTAGGCGGCTTCCTGACTCCACCCCAAAACACACACCTTCGTTCAGCCCTCAGTGCTGTGATTACAGGAGGAATATGAGGGCATTTGTTTTGCCGCAGATTTTCTTCAGTCAACAAAGAAACTGTCAAGAATAAGGAACAGAGGCTGACAATGTCAACAACACAAATGAGGCTGTACTCATTGTGCTGGGATAAAAGAACGCTGGCCTACTTCACAGAATAGTGTGTTGTGTTGTCTATAAGCATCAAATGCATCCTCTTTTATAATAAACACAAATCTGCTTTCAATGCTTCATACAAACAAAGGATTACACATCAGAGTGCATGTGTAAGGAAGCACACAGCGACTATCTGCAGAGAGTTATAACCCGACTGTGCACTTGCTCCTAATTCAGCAGAAATTCAGCAGCTTGCAATCTTAGACCTTAAGTTTACTCACGCTCTGGCTAACTGCTCTGCACAAATTAGTAGAGAGACAAAGTTAGAGGGAAACACAGTTGTACAACATTTAGCAGCTTAAACGTTGGATGAATCCCTGAGGAGTCGGTGAAAACAGAGCAAAGCCATGACCTTTTGAAGGCCTGAATAAGTGTCTTGTATGTACAGTATGAATTACTATCTTGGCCAACAGTGCAGTGTAAGAACTCGACTTCATTTCTATCCTGAAGCTAAGTGAAGATTCGCAGTAATTTCAACAGAAACTAGACTTCACAGAATATTTTTTTATTTTTTTTTATCTTTAATGCCCCGTGTCCACCTAGCATTTTTTTCCAGGCAGAAAAGCGCTGGCTGTGTGCTCGGGAGTGTTTTCATGACAGCGTTTGTGCGCTGAGAAGAAAAGCGCTGCACACGATCTGTAGGCGACAAAACTACAGGGAATATCATACATTTTGAAAAGAGCATACATTTTCTGAAAAGTAGAAAGATTTTCAGCTTGAGTGCTCACAGCGGCTGCAAAAAAAGGCAGAGCGCTCGGGAGAAAAGACGCTGCGCTTTCTGCTGAGAACGCTTTCTCTTCATTGAAAACAACAGAAAGAAGACGCTGCCCCTGAGAAAAAAGGACCCGGGGTCATGTGTTTTTATAGAATCTTGATGAGATAGTGTGCAAAGGTAAAAAAAAAAAAAAAAAAAAAAAGAAAAGCTGAATGGGTGGGCTTTTGTGTTTACACCGACTGTTTTTGTCTGCATTGCACTTTATTATAGAGCAATGCATTGCAACAGACAAACATGCCCGGCCTTTTCACTGCATCCAGACATTTACATTATAGGACTTGTGTCATTCATTCATTTCCTCATTCATTCATCAGTTTCCTTTTATTCATTGAGCAGTCCCTGCAGTTATTTACTCAGTGGAGCTAGAGGAGTGAGTGATCAGCGCATTCCTGTCACGCCATTCCACGGCTCATCAATCACTTGAGTTGAAAGAAAAAACAAGCAAAGGATCTATTTGTATTAGTGTGTGTGTTTATCTAGTATATATGATGGTGTGTGGGAGCCATTATTATCTTTGTGAAGTTGCAAGCAGTGCACAGCTGTGAAAGAACACGTCTCAATATTGTCATCAGCGTATCAACACCGACTATAATGTACCAGCAGGCCCTCCTACAGTACAACTAACACATGACAGGACATTGTTTTCTGCAGACAAGCTTGTATATGGGCAGACAAAATGAGTGATTGGTTCTGTTATGTCCATGAAGTGCATGAAAAGAAAATGAGGAAAAAAGCAGTGGAAACAGATTAAACAGAGACAGTGCAAAGATCAGTGACTTTCTGAGTTGATACTGATGTTGACATTTTCACTCTGACCTCACTCGGAGTTTCTCCTGCCAGACTCCTAGCAGCAAGTCTAAGTGAGCTGATGTGAGAATGCAGCAGGATATTCTCCAGAGAATTCACCACGAGCCAATAGGAGGGAGTGAAGTTCCTACACTGACTGCTGCACGGTGCAGAGAGTGTCTGCACGCGACCCCTACGATCCCCGTGCATGTAATTAATGGCTGCATTATGTTCTCCAGCATGTTGTTGTCCACTCTTTTGTTGATATTATGATTCTGCCAAACTACATGTAGCATTGATATAAAGGCAAATATTCTAATTATAGTTCAGTATAACAGACTCTGTTGCTTTGTATGCTACTTCCGCGTTGTTTTTACGTCATGTCTTAACTCGGAAGACCCCCGCACCCCCTCCCATCGGATAGTCTCCTGCTTTGAAGAGCATATGGGAACAGCCGGGTTGGGAGAATCTCCGGAGCAGTCGTCTTGAAATTATCTAGATATTTTCAGGAGTGTGAATGTGAAAACAGCTTAAGAGTGGTAAGTTATGCTCACCCTTCATGCAGTCACCATCGGCAGCAACATCAAACACTCTATGTGACACACACATAGTGATTTGCAAGTTTAGCTAGTTTAATTAGCCATGAGTGACGACTTGAGAAGCAGCAAAGACACTTCTGCAACAGAAATGTTGGTGGAAGTCGAAGACTTTTCTCCAGAGCTGTATCAGTTTGAACCGTTAGCACAGACAGCGAGTGCTGACACAGCTGGTGCCGAGGACAGTGAGGGGCGAGGAGAGGATAGTGAAAAGACAAATGTTATGGCCTTAAAAGCTTTCTGTGATTTTTCACACTTAAACATAATAGAAATCAAGTATATCCTCTGAAAATAACTCTGTGAGTCATGACTGTCTACAATGGGTGTAACACCCGAGTCCCACTGTCTGTGATGTTTTCAGAGTTTTCAGAGTCCTATCTTCAGTTTGTTTACATCGCCCGGACGGCTGGCTGACTCCTCCCCTCGAGTATAAAAGTTGTTTAATTGAGGGACTAGAGAAAAGAAGAATAACATACTGTACTCACTGCTTAACTGTGTTTCTAGATCACGCTCATTTCAGGTCAATTACATGCAGTGTGAAGATACGAGCATAATAAAGATCACTAGCATTAGCATGCTAACACAACAATGCACCACAAGTTGTTTTGGTTTCATGCTGGTGCTCAAGGGCGACATCTGCTGGATCAAAATATCACAAATAAAGCCTTTAAACATTTTTAAACAAATAGCCTCATTATTGCACTTTTCAATCGGCATATGTCACGCAAGCCACTTCTATTTACATCAGGTGCTGTTGAGGTCACTGCGCTAAGCTCTCTCCTCAAGAGTTTCTCTCCTCCAAAGTTTGCTGAGTCATAGTTTCTTATAGGGTTTGGTGACAAAAGCTGGCACAGCATGCATCACCTGCCTCCAGATGAAAAATGTAATTGCAGTAGCCGGGTTTCAATCTGTAGAGGGCAGTCACTATGAATATTTCTAACACAGTATGTCGAATTTAAATTCTTTGTAATCAAACATCGAGATTTGGACCTGAATTGATCAGCAACACTTACTAACCCTTCAGCGCTGTCTGACTATGTTACACTCTTTGTATTTCATAAAGCTGGAAGGCTTTATTTTGCTGTGTGCTCACTGGAGGAGACCAGTCAGCTCGTACCCAGACCCCATGGGGCCATGAAGGGATCTCTCAATAGAACTATGGCAGTCTCCCCGGTTACACATTCAAAACAAACCACAGTTACCATCCCAACATCAGCGGGCTCTTGAACATGCAGCCCTGCTCATTCAAAGTGTGTAGCTGTGGTGACAGGACCATTGAAGTCCTGCTCTACAACAACTGACTGCAGAGAGCCCCCTCTCCCCCCACCCTCTCTACTGTAGAGCTGAGCAGGGACTGACTCCCACTTTCTCACAGATCAGCTGCTGACAACATCACCAAGCTTAAAAATAATCTCTCCATTGTTGTGGTAAATAACTCAGACGCGGGGGAAATAACCTGTCAATCATTTGTCACTGACACAACAGGACATTACAAGTCAATAATGATGAATGCAACAATTCATCTGATAAGTTCAACCATAAATAGAACTTCTGTCTTGGTGTTGTAACACTTTGCTTCTTAAATAGCAGGATGCAGAAACCAGTTTGGAAACATGGTTTTTATGTGACGTTCGTCAAAAGGTAAACGAGCAAGAAATACTTGAACCAAGCAGCAATCTCATGGACTGAAAAACAATGCTATCATGGAAGTTCCAAAGAAATACACTTCCCCAAATGGACACTGGCTCCAAAATGAGTCAATCCCAAAAGACTGCCATATTGAAAAGACAACAGAAAGTAGACCAAACCAGTTTGGGCCTCTAACCTTACTTCTAACAGAGCACTGGGTTCAATGTTTTTATTTCAAGCACCGAGACTTCTCAGCCAGTTCAGTTATTAACTTAATAATGGA